TTTACACTTTTATATATAAATATTTCCACATGTGGCTATACTGGAATGATTACGTGCTCAGTGATGTTAATGGTACTGAAAATAGATTCTCTTGATTGATTATTGGAGAGTAAAACACACACACACACACAGAAAATGTAAACGGAAGAGAATAAGTTGTTTTTGAAGCTAAAAGGGAACATAGTTATGCAATTATATTCTGGCATTTTGTCCTGTATTCAGTGAAAAGCTGTATCTGTTTTTTTTTTTTTGTTGGTTTTTTTTTTTTTTTTTTTTTTTTTTTTTTTTTTTTTTTGGCTTCTTACTGTTGCATTTTGTACAGCTACTGGAAACAGGCCTCCAAAAACACTCCCAAGAAGCCATAACCCATCATCTCTCCCCATCTCATGGGATGCTGCTACAGGGCAGCAGCAGCAATCTGTGCACACTGAAGACTACTGACGACAATTCGGACAGTTTGAGAAAGGCAGCTACAAGGCAACGCAGAACTTGCATGTAGTTGTGCCTTGTTAAGTAAAAGGTGACTGTAGAGGGACGTTATTTCTGCCACTGAGGATGCCCTTACCACTAGGCAACTTTAGAAATACACTCTCATGTGACACTGAGTCATTTTACAACAATATCATTATATACATTCAGTCCTGGAAATACATTTTCAAAGGCTGTTTTTGAAACTGTATCCCTGTATTCAATCATAGTTAAACTATAAGTGAACTGACATTTTCTTTTGAAAACATACTTCACATTTCTGATTGTATCTTAGTTTTTCAAAGCCTTTTATAAGCTGTTCTGTTTACAAAGATGACACGCTATTAAGATGCAGTTAGCTCCAAAATAGAAAAAGAAATAAAGTATTGGGGAATAACAGCTCCRTTGTGCATGTAAAAGGAATTTTATCTCTAGCAACAAGGGCAAACTGGCTTCCTGTTACGAAAGAATTTAAAATGCAAGTTAGTTGGTGTCTTAAAATTACTTTTCAGCAAGCTCAATACATTTTCATTTAGATTTTTTACTCACGTTCTTTCAAATCAACAGGTTCTGGCATAACATAAACTAGAATTTTACTTTGTTATTACTTATTAAGCAGCAAGATGACAAAGTAAATCAACATTACATCTCTGTGCACAAAAATACAGCTGAATAATCAGACTCATGGCCTCCTCCAGCCAAAAACAACCAGCTGCATTGCTTATCCTGCTTACCTCACTTTGGGCAATATTTCCAAAATGATCAGGAAATACCCATGTAAGCCATCAAATAGAGATCTTGTTTAGTAAACTTAGATAAACATATGAGTTTATCATTAAATGAGAGGCAAATCTTAGGCCGAATCAAGCAGTAAGCTTCTGTAGTTATTTAATTTGAAATACATGTTCAGGGTTGCTGAGCTGTAGCAACAGTAATCTTTGTTGCTTCTTGAAAGAAACTGGTATGTATTGCAAAAATAAAACATTTCAATACATTTATTTTTTCTTATCATCATTTTTGCAACTAAACCTTATACAGATTTTCGTATAACATTGTTGTAATTGTTTCTGCAATATACAAAGTTGAAGATAAACTAAGGAAAGATAATAAAAAATAGTACAGGCCCTTGGCTCTAGATTTGATAAACTAAAAGACTCCTTCACATAGTATTTTCAATGGCTATTTTGGAGACATAACTGATTGATCTTTAGTGACTTTTCTAACTTTTTMATGTGGGAATCCACAGCTTATATATTTTATTATTGTTATTATTAATACTGTTTTTAAATAAGAGAATAATGGTAGTCTTAGGATATAAAGGGGGTAAGATTTACCAACAGAGGTAATAACATCAGATGAACTGATACAAATTGAAAAATGGAAACACTTTCAAGAGTCTTTCTTCACAAATGCCCTCTCATATTGCTTATTAAATTGTTATGAAACAAATAAGAATACTAGGGATTATAGATCTATAGGATGAGTCTGCTTCTAAAGCTCAGGCAAATATTTAGCAAGTCAAGTGACTCTTATCTACAGCTGACAAAATATTCTAAGATATTCAGCAAGTTATTTAGTAATACATTCCAATTTTATGACAATGCAGTGTCACATGTCATTGCAAGGGCAGGGCCGCTGGATTTCACACAATTAGTGGGCRTTCAGAGCACAGCATCACCTGGTTCTATATGATAAAACAGCCCCTGGACCTGGTTTACTGAATCCTGTAGTATTAGCATGTTAAAATACCTTCCTGTCTGACTGAGAGCAGYGAATGGTGAAAGGCAGAACAGCCAGAAGCATTGCAGAACCCCTCTGAACCAAACTTCAATGTACAGGTGAGACTTACAGTTATGCTTCTTCTTCTTCCCTCCTGTTATCTCAGATTCTATCTTCAGTCTTCCTTAATACTACGAATATCATACTCCAGTGGACAGATGGCTCTTTCTAGGGACAAAGTAGTACAGTCATTTAAAAGATGATGAAGTGACTAGTGATGTCTCGGGAGAACAGAACGACACATACAATTCATCAGGACACAATGTCCTTATACAAATCAAAAGTTAGCCAAGTTACTGGGCTAAACTATTCTTCCTCAAAATATCTCAGGTAAAAAAATAATAAAACGGTGATTTTATGTTTCGTCAGTACAACCAGCCATCCTTAACTATCCTGGAATGTGTATGCAACTCCGACACTGATTACACTGATTTCACAGAATCACAGACTGGTTGAGGTTGGAAGGGACCTCTAGGGATCATCTAGTCCAACCTTCCTKCTCCAGCAGGGACATCCAGAGCATGGGGCACAGGGCGGCATCCAGGCGGGTTTGTTGCAAACAAAGGTGAATATTCAAATCGTATCATATATGCATAAAAAAAMCTCTGAATTCCTGTTGTACTCCAAAAGTGTCTGACTATAGGAAAAAGCACCATCTTTTAAGTCCTGGAATTAAGAAATGCCAGTAAGTACTTCCAGCCTTCAGGAGTCTGTAAACTGACACCACGAGTAACTTTGAAAACTCCAGTTGAAATGGAAAATGACATATTTTCAGTGTAATTTAGCAGCTAGAATTCGTGAGGACAGTTCTGCGTTGGTAAATACCCCTAGGCACCTTTTGCAGTCATCCCACACCMGACTCCCTGACTTTCACGTGCAGCTGGCTCTTTCCATGAGGTGATCTAATGAAATCCACAGAGCTGCTGCTAGGAAATGCCAGGGGCCTGAGCCACCTACTCTTAATGGTGCCAGAACAGGCGGTGGTGAAAGTGCTTTGTAGGCTGCAGCTTTAAGAAATTTAAGATTAAAAGAGAACCCAAAGAGAACTCGGAAGGCTACTGCCTTTCCAGTGTGACTTTATTTAAAGGAACCTGCTAATTTAGGGGATGAATCATCCCGAGCTGTAGCTTTTGCTGTTGCTGCACGCAATGCGTGCTACCCAACGGTAACCCCGCACAGGGTTATTTACTTGTGGCTACATCAACAATACCACGTTTATCCTTGACGTGATTAACCGAGGGTAGTTCCACAGGGTCTTCGTGCTGCTCGGTACAACACAGCAATGGGAAGGCGGCGGGCAAAGGCCTGGCGGAATTATGGAGTTGGGCCATGGCAGCGCCCTGGCACTTCCCGCCCTTTTCGCCCTGACGGGCGGGGGGGCGCCCGAGGGGCCCGGGTCTCCCGTGAGGAAAACAGYGTTTCCCTCCCGTGCTGGGAATGAAAAAGTACGCGCAGATAAAGCTTTTTTTTAATTATTATTATTACTATTATTATTTTATTTTTCCCAGAGGAAATAATAATAATAAAATCATTTTCGTGTGAGGAACGGGGTGGGGGGGGAGGGCGCTTTTTAAGATGGTTACGCGCTCTCGCTCCGTACGGGCAGCTGCCCGAGAGCGGGCAGCTCTCGGCTCCCAAGCCGCCGCATCCCGGTTCCCGCGGGGCGGGGTGCGTAGGAACCATGCTCGGGTGGAACCTTGCTCTCGTGGCGGCCGTTTCCCCGCCGACGCGGGAGGGTTCGGGCGGGGGACGCGCTGCCGGTAACGGTCGCGTGGTGCCGGGGGAAGCGGCGATGGCGGTGGGGGGGGGGGGGGGGTGCGGCCTGGTCCGGTCCCGGCAACGTGTCGTGTCGTGTCGTGTCGTCCCCGTGCTACCCCGGGACTCCTGCCCCCCTTTCCCGGCCCGGTAGCGCTCCCGCGGGCGCCCGCGGTGCCGCTTGAGGTGCCGTTAACGGCTGGTGCAGCTTGGGCAGCGTGGCTGTTAACGAGGCCTTGGACTGCTTAAAGAACATATATGTCCTTGAACAGGAAGGGTCTACTTAAGTAGATGGCCAAGTGAAGCCTTCCAGTGTTTCCAGCCCAGACCTGCTTCCAGTTCAGTGTTTTTGGGCATATCTGGATTTTGGTGGGATCTGATCTCCAGGCTGCTGTGAGGGAAGGTTGTTTAAAAGTAAATGTGCCAACTTTTGGTTATAATATATTAGTCCATTATATTACCTTAAGGAAGCTGCTGCTCAGTGCTAGTGCGTGGGTCCACTGGTGGGTGTGCTCATGGARAGTAGCGTTTATTGCATCCCATTAGAAAATGTTCAAAACTGTTTACAGTTAATACCTGGAGCAGCCCTAGGTGTGGGGAAACCTTAAGTTGGCCATTGGCATCCGTTCAGCAATTACAACATGTGATCGTTGCTCCACTTGCTCTCACAGCTTTGGCTTCCTAGACCTAGAGGACTTCAAGTGTTACTGAGATAATAATGTCTAAAGCATTGAGCCTACCTAGTGGTGAGGTGCTTAGTCTTTCTTATTGATGATGCCGTAGCCAAATTCTCTTGCCAAGATGCAGTACTTTGAATGTTTTAGATTTAAAATGGCTTGAGAAAGTTGCTGGGGGCAGGCAGACCTTCAACAATTCGCTTCTTACACTTGGAGCTTGTTCTAGCAGAAGGGTATTTTGGACCTTGTCCCAGTGAAGGAGCTTCTTGCAAGGAGGGGGAGATTTATATCAGGTCACTAATCTGCCGTAGAAGCAGAGCGGAGATGAGATAAAACCAATAAAAGATCTTTACATCGTGGATTTCAGGATGGTGAGATGAAAATCTAAGAGTAACTGGTTAAATTCTATTAAATTCTGAAATGAGTGAGGTCTGATTTTTGATGATTTAAGTACCACCTTTCTATTTTTAGGTATTAAATACATAAATATTTTTTCAATGTGAAGCCCTAGCCATTTGGTTTGGTGGACTTAATAAAGTAAAAGACACAACTGTAATGTTGATAGGAACTGTGAAAATGCAGAATAACTCCAGAGAGTCTTAATTCTAGATATACAGTGGATGCCTGAGTATTTCTTAATTTTAACCATGCTTTTTTTTTATTTTTTTAGTGAATACTTCAACTTGTTCTGCCCTGTAAGTGTGTCTAGAATTTTGAGGACCTGAGATAAATTATGAATTTTCCTTTGTGTTTTGAAGAGAGCTGATTATTCTGATCCTCGGTCAAGCATAAGGAATAAGCCTACAAGATGATGAATGATAATAATTTACAAGATTTTGCAGGAGGAAAATCTTAACCTTTTGTCCTTTTTTTAGTGAGCTTTTTTTAGCAAGCTAGCTATACTACAGAAACAAGACTTGTTAATTGGCTTTATAGTTTAGTTAATTGCTTTCTACATAAACAGTAAATCAGCTTATTTTTATGGAGATAAGTGGGATTTTTTAAAAAATTTTTTGCTCGTGTCATGTCACCAGTGTTAAGAGCCTTTGAATTTTTAATAMAATTTATTGTAGTATAAACAGAGTAGTAGTTTTAGGCAGAACAGAGTTGTTCCTCAGAACACAAAATGCTCTAAAATCTGTTTGGGTAGGAACTGTTCTAAAAGCAACAGATATCTCTTAGTCTGGTTTAGAATCATGTGCAGAATTGGTGCACAAACAAAACATTTCATCTTTAATGAAATGTTAAATGTAACCTATGTCAGTGTGTTTCGGGGGAAGAAGAAATATTTTTTCAAGGATGTGGCTGTTTTTGATCTCTTTAACAATAAGCAAGAGAGAGTCAGCAGTAGTCACACAAACATCCTGATACAGCAGGGTCTTGTAGTACTCTTCAACAAAACTTTGTGAAACTTTGTGAGATTTCTGTGACTTTTTTTTTCAGTGTATAATCCTTTTTACGTTTTGTTCTTTTTTCGGTGTGTACTGTCTGAAAAATGCAGCTTTCTGCTTCATATATCAGAATCTGCTGAAAGTGAGAAAGAGGAATGAATTCATGGCTTTCTTTCATTTCAGTTTTGGAGATGTACAGGGCTAGCTGTAAACTGTAATGCTGTAGAAATGTTACGGAAGTCAGATTAAAAATACAAGCTCCAAAATGTTATATAGACAATTCTGCATTCTGGGACACAGATCTCAATTAAAGTAGGTGTCATTTCAATGCAAAGGGCCATGTAGACGATAAATATTTTTTTTATTTAAAATAATGGCTGATTAACCATCTTTTATATTTATATGGGCCAGTGAAATAGCTAGCAAGCTAGCAGAGGGTTCTCAGCAGCTTCATGCCTGCAGAAGTCTGTTTTCCACAAGCTTGGTTGAACCAAGTGATTATTCATCTCTGTAGGTTCCGCGTTCTTCGAGTAAAAATGCTCAGTAGGAGTTTTTCTATGAGAACATAGACATTAATCTTTAGCGGATGTAATGGTTTTCTGATAATGGCATATTTACCTGCTGTAAACAATTAAAAAAAAATTAACCAAAATTAATTACCATTTTGTGGGGAGTATGGTACATTTTGGCTTGAATTCAGACAGGAATGTTTTTCAGGTGTGTGTGAATAGCCATATCTCCACTAACTTGAGAATGGCATTCGACTGAACTAAGTGACTGTGCTTGTTCACTTGCTGTCTGTTTATGTTTAACGTATTTAAGGTACAAATTCTTGTTTTTAAAATATTCATTAAGGTAAATTTGCAAATGCTGACAACAATAAATATCTCTAATTTTGACCTTTGTTAAGATAGGTGAATTAAGAATTATTGACCATCTTTATTTTGCTTAGGGCTCAGAGATGGATTCATCAGAAAGTTCACCAGTTAGAAGTGAACAAAARTCCAGGTAACTATTGTTGTGAAGATTATTTTTTAAAACTGTTTGTAAACGGAAGTATGAAAAAATAATTAGAATCCAGTATTGAAAATTAGATTTGAGAGTGGCATCATGCTTGAAAACTTGGAAGAGTCCCCTGAAGCTAGTGTCTCTGGTGACCATGTGCTTCATACTCAGTTGAACTGTTTGTGAGGAATAAATAATATGCTTGCCCAGAGAAAACAACTTGCGCTCAGTGTAGCAGGGAGACATAGGGGATTTTTTTGTAGGTTTTAACAAATGTATTTCATAGAATCATAGAATGCC